CTACTGATAAGAAGGAGGAACAAAATATCAAAACCTGTGTGTGTGTGTGTGTGTGTGTGTGTGTGTGTGTGTGTGTGTGTGTGTGTGTGTGTGTGTGTGTGTGTGTGTGTGTGTGTGTGTGTGTGTGTGTAATAAAAGTTTGAGCTCAGTGGTTGTATATTGATTTATTTTTAAATAGATACAGTGCAGGTAGATAAAGTGAAGTCTCATGAGAGAATTTGGGCTTTGGGCTGGCCCGTATTCATCAAACTTTTGGAGCATTGTCCACTTCCCTTCTTGCTTACGTTTCTAATTGTAAAAGCAAATCTGCATATTGTCCTTGTGACACAACGAGCTTCCTTCTGCAGTCACATGTCCATATAATTAAGTTAATTTAAAGCCAGCTTCTGAAGGGTTGAACAAAGTAAATTATGCATCTAAATTACTTGCTCAAAGCCCATAAGCTTAAAAGCATTGTGTTATTTTATTGTGATGATGTTCACTAGTTAATCCTTGCATGTGTTGAACTGGATGCAGCACATAGAGCTCGCTGCAGAAGCACCCTCTCGAATGTTAGACAAACATTCAGTTTTTAAATAGCTGCAGTTTTTTAAACTAAATGTTTAACTCAACATGTTAAATTCAACCTCAGGCACTCGAGGAGTACAGACGCTTCCCTCTTTCGCTCCCTTATATTTTTTTTCCCAAGGCTCTTTGTCCTGTATGCCCACAGAGCGCTTCTCTGCATTTCTTCGGAAAAACTCTATATTTTTTTTTACTAACCATGGATTTGATAAACTGGTCTTTCAATGTGATTGATAAGATTTTTTCAACAGCGAGAATGGAGCAGGGGGCTCCCACATGTCCACAGGGGACGCACCCGGTGGGATATATGCTGGATTCCTGGAAGGAGTGGCAGATCATATGCCTCTCCCAGCTGTCCACTGAGGACAATGAAGACGTGTGGATAATTGGTCTGATGATCACTGGATTTCTCCTGAGTGGAGTGGGAGGATATCTGGTTTTCTGGAAATTTGGGAAGACGGGAGCGATTGGAGGGCGACTCACACCCACGGAAAGCACCGTCCGTGTGGAGACTTCTCAGACTTGGACGTTACTCAAGGTAAATCGTAAGATGGACAATGTTCTAGCTGCGATACCGGTATTAGTGCGCAAAATGGATGTCATCTCGGTGTCATGGTCTGCGTCTCTCCTCATGTGTCTCCTTGTGTTATCCATCCCTCTAGTTTCTCCTTTTGTGTCTCATAGCGCTCTCATGTGTCCTTGTCTGCGTCTCATTTATGTGTCTCTTTGTGTGTTTCATGTGTCTCCTGTTTGCAGCCCTCCAGATCTTTCCTCCCAGGTCCTGTGTCTCTTCATGTTCTGTGTCCTTGTAGCTTCAGCCTTTTTGTCCCCAGCTCCCTCCTGGTTTTCTTCATGTCTCTTAGTCTTCCCACCTTAGTTTATTTAGGTATTTTATTTCAGTCAGGTGTGTGTGTGTGTGTGTGTGTGTGTGTGTGTGTGTGTGTGTGTGTGTGTGTGTGTGTGTGTGTGTGTGTGTGTGTGTGTGTGTGTGTGTGTCCTTCCCCAGCTCGGTGTGTGTGTGTGTTTGTGTTTGTGTTTGTGTTTGTGTTTGTGTTTGTGTGTGTGTGTGTGTGTGTGTGTGTGTGTGTGTGTGTGTGTGTGTGTGTGTGTATGCGTGTGTGTGTGTGTGTCCTTCTCCAGTCAGGTCTGGTATCCTCCTCTGCTCCTCCTCTCATTATTGCTTTCACCTGTGCCAGTTCCCCTCACACCTGCTCCTCGTCTCCTATCACTTCAGCCCCAGTGTATAAAACCCTCTCCTTGTCTCAGTGTTTTGTCGGTCCATTGTGTGATGTATTCTGTCAGTCTTCTCGTGTCGCTAGTGTTTGGATCTCCAGATCATTATCTGGATTTTTGGCTTCCAGCCTTTTTGGATTCATTTTAGTTTTTTGGTTCATCCTAAAATAAATACGTTTTCTTAATCTTCATCCCTGCCTCGTGTCATCCTGGGTATCTGCATTTTGGGTCCTAACCATCCTCAAGTCGTGACACTCAGAGAGAGTCACCGGACAGTATGGACAGGTTTAAAACCCAAAATTGGTTTCACTGAAGGACAGAATGATCAATTTAAAGACTGAAGGCAGAGAGGAAAATTATCTCAGCCTGACCCAAACAAATTCTTGTTATCTGAATCTGATGCCCTGGTAGCCTTGAGCTGCAAGCAACTAAAACCCCCACGAAGGAATGCAGACAGATGCTGTGAAAACCCAACCTACCCCCACCCCCCACCCCCGCACCCCCCGCCTTTGGATTGGTGGACATCAGCCTGGCGAGTTCATCAACTGGAGGAGTCAATGTGCTCTTTGCTTCTCCCAAGATCTCCCTCCCACCTGTGACTGTATAGTAGATGAGCGCCGTAGATGGCTGCTCTCGCTGGGGGAAACAGGATCCCAGCCCCCCCACCCCCCACCGCACCTTCCCATTGGAGTCTCATGTTATGTTGTGTTGTCTGAAGTCTGTTGCATATCTTTTTGAGGTGTTTTTTTTTTTTTTGCAAAGCAAAGCTGCCCTCACTGTGGAGGGTAACTCTGAAGTGCCTTTTTTTCCCTCCACCTGAACCAATCCTCATGTAACCCTCTTATCTCTATTAAGGTAGCGCGGCTCGGGTTGCGAATGACCACAGTCACCATTTCTTGTCACGTGTCTTGCCCATGTATGTCTGATCTCTGAATTGTGTGTACTGAAACTCTAATTTCCCTCTGGGATTAATAAAGTATTGATTGATTGATTGATTGATTGATTGATTGATTGATTCTTGTCTTTCTTCATCTGATTGGTCCTGGGGGTATATTTGTGTATTCCATTCAGCATTACGTGAGAAAATATAAAAGTTTTCCATCCAGTGCATAGGAGCCACCAAATAAAGTTCATGTAAAAATGTTGTTTCTGCAAAATTACTCAAATATGTGACCATTTCTAACATGATAAGCTGTCATTTAGGAGTTTTGTCATTAAATCCAGTCACACAATCAGAGCTTAACATAAGAAATCACTGTATATGTTTAAAATCTGTATGTAAGTTATGATTTAGTAGCTTTGCACTTTGCACATAAGAACCCATTTGTTATGTTGTGAGGGAAATTAACAGCTCATTGTATATTTTGCTCATTTGCTCCTTCAGCAACTCTGAAGTGCACATGTAGCATTTTAGGCAGGATCTATGGTGCAACTATTATATCACACACTCAGTGAAATGGAAACTGCACCTCTAAACTAAATCAAATCATCGTTAATCATATTTTAATTCAGGCTAGAACTTTATCATTGATCTCAGTGATTGTTGGGTTCGAAACTTGACCAGTTTCATCTTTGACACCATTCTGCAGCCCCCTGCTGGCCAGAAACCACACTTAACAGTTCTGTGGAGGAAAGGTGCTCTGTAGGGGGCACTACAGACATGAATACGTAGACGCCAAGTTGGACGCTGGAGAGCGTAACAGTGTTGCTGCCATATTGGATGGGTCTCCTCACTCTCCACAGTTAATGCAGAGTAAGCAACCATGCAGCCTGCGGTTACAACAAGCGGTGTACTACTGAAAACTGATCTCGTAGGATTACCAGTGACTTTTCTAGCCTTCCTGATAGGATTTTATATTTAAATTTATTTCTATTTATTATCATGCCATACCATGTGTCAGATTGTGTGAAAAAGCTTGATAAAATGTGTTTTTTAGTTGGGTAAGCACCTTCCTCAGTGGAAATGAATGCACTGGGGCAAATGGACACCATTCTATAATGGCGTCCACTACGGCAGCTCCAATAGGCAGTGCCAGTCCACGGGACCTCTACGTATTCATGTCTGGGGGGGGGGGGGGGGGGGGGGGGGGCTGTTTACCTACTTTATGACTGTTAGCTGCATTGATAGCGGTTAGCATTTTTGGTTTGCCGATTGTCAATAAAAAGCACAAGAAGAAAAAGAAGAAATTTGCTTCTTCTGTTGGCATCATGGCAGAGTCTGGAAGTACAAGTCAGTCTTTGAAGGTGAAGCAAAGAGTTAAAACCAGAGTGAACGTCAGCACGGCCTACACTAGTTAGAGGGAGCTAAAGGAGGCTACAAAATCATGGACTGATGGTGACCTGGCTTTGTTGCCACTGGACTTGTAAGTAATATTTTTGTCCAACAGTGTGGATCTTTTTACTTTGTGGTTTATTTTAGTATTAGTTGGCTCATGATAGTGTTTACATGTTTGAGTAACCTACAGAACAGCTGTGCAACACAAGGACCGACCACTAAGTAACTCCAACCAGAAGTGTCTTCTCTCCGTTGCAATGGAAGCACAACCCTCTCATGTAGACTAGATTAAAGTTGTGTCACACAAACAAGGCACCTATGGAAAGGAGCCATTAAGGTTAGCTCATTGTTAGCACTAGCTACAGCAGGCTGCAGCAGGGTTGTTTACGACATTTGTAATTCCACTTTCAACCAGTAGGGCGTAGACGCAGGAAACTGCTCTGTTGCTTTAATGATTGAATGTTTTTCATTGTTATTTCCTTCTGCTGCCGTGAAACCAGCAGGAGTTCTCACGAAGATTCAGCAAACAGCCAGGCAGACAGCCACTCATATCAGGAATTCCAGATATATTCTGGGAGTTTTCATGAATCAGAACGGTAACTGGTTAACCCGTCAAGTTTTGGCATCTTATTTTTTTACTTGCTGGATCAGAAAACACGAGGAATGCCCGTCGGGTACAGCTTTCACCGAGACTCTGGATGTTGTTGGATCCAACTGGATGTGCAAAGAACACCAGACATAGTTTTGGCTTTCTGATCTGCCAAGTTAAAGCAGTGAAAGTTTTTCCAACCTACAGACACGACTATAGCAACAGAGGGGAGGCAGCTTTTAAAACAGACCCCAGAGTCAAGTTCATTTTGTTTAGATTTTCTTTTAGATTTTCATGCAGTCTGCTCTCCTGGAAACCACATCTGTGAGCTTGTCTCACCTCCAGAGATCTCGTTGGCATCCTCAGTAGGTCCCACAGGATCCGTCAGTCGCTGGGCCTCCGTTTTGTCCTGTCCATCAGTATGTCCTCGTTCTTTTGTATGAGCTAGAAATATTCATGAAGCCTCAGTGAAAACCAAAGTTTATATTTCAGTTCAGCTCTCTTTATAAAGTACTGGGTGTATTTACAGGGACACACAAAATTAAATGGAAAAGACACAACAGCGGTACCAAGAAAGGTTAAATCAAGGTGTGAAAAGAAGAGCAAAAAATGCAAAACAGAAAAAATGAAACAGCACAGCAGTGCAGAACATCACTGCAGCTGAATGGTAAATAATAAAAGCAGGAGAGAAATAAAAATCTGAAACAAACCTTTAAATCTGCTCTGAAGTGGTCTGCTCTGCTCTCCACCTCTGACAGCGATGACACTGAAAACATAGTCCTTAGAGGGTTTGTAGTCCGTTATCAACACCTTAGTGTCAGATTTAGACACGATGATCTCCTTCTGTTGACCACCTGAGAGGTAGAAAACAAACACAGCGGGAGCCTGGTTAGACGCTTGGCTTCACGCTGCTCCTTTTTCTGGATTTATTCAGCTGCTTCGAAATTAAGAATAAATAAACAAAATGAATTCTAATTAATACACGGAGAGGTGAATTTATTAGAGGGTGTTAATTTTGTTCAGTGTGAAGGCAGACAAACATTAGGGTCAAGGTTAAAATAGTCTCATTCTGCAGAGGATTTGTCTGCAGGCTGTTGTGATGCGTTCAAAGGTTATCCTCTCACAAGCTGCTAGAATAAAAACAAGAGGACAAAAAGATGATAGTGAATGCTGTTTTTGTGCAACTTTGATGTTTCTGCTGGAGCTGGAAGCACCGTCGCTCCATCGCAAGGCCAAAACAAGCACTAACAGCTAAATACTACCGAACATAGTTTGGTTTTTAATCAGGTTGTCCTTGTTCTGAAATGTGATTGTTGATCTGAAACATGTACTGTATGTGTGGAAAAAGGCTAGAACACAAGAAATCTGCAGAAGGATTATATCTGTATAAAATACCCACTATAATCCCTCTCCTCGTGTGTGTGTGTGTGTGTGTGTGTGTGTGTGTGTGTGTGTGTGTGTGTGTGTGTGTGTGTGTGTGTGTGTGTGTGTGTGTGTGTGTGTGTGTGTACTTTCTTCACTCTGGATGAGAGTTATAACTACTAGCACATGTAGCAGAGGGACATTAATGCTCCTGATGCTGACTGCAGATCAGGTGAAGTTAGGGTTCACTAGAAACTCAGAGTGCAGTCACGTCTGCTGCTGCAGTAAGTGCATCTGTCCTCCTCTGCTGCAGATGTACGCTTACCTAACATACTAGAATTAACGCTGTTTGCTATCAGCTTTGTTAGATTCTGAAGAAGATCAAACGAGTTAGCAAATGAAGCTTCTATCATATATAAATATCTAGGATATTAATATATTCGATGGAAGCTCATACGCCAACGAGCTTGGTCTATATTTAATCCAAAGATGAATTTTTAATGTAAGATAATTACATTTTAGCAAAAGTTTATTTATTGAATCAGAAGCTTAAAGGGACTTTACGGAGTTTTGAATTTTTATGCTCGCGATCGCCCCCTCAGGCCAAAGGCGTAACGGCAGCTTCAACAGTAGGCTCGTGCACGAGGCGCGCATGCTGTACGTGCACACTCCTTAACGAAAATAACAGCTGAGACAGTCCCTTGTGTGTGTGTGTGTGTGTGTGTGTGTGTGTGTGTGTGTGTGTGTGTGTGTGTGTGTGTGTGTGTGTGTGTGTGTGTGGCCCGGAGGACAGAGGACAAGAGAACGCGCAGCTAATTAATTAAATTATTTGGTTCTGTACCTTTCTCTCCAGCACAGCCGACAAAGGTTTATGCTGGGTCAGTCCTCCTGCATGCTCAGATCGTTCACTTCCCTTGCTTGAAAAGTTGTTCCAAAATGAAAGTTGAACCCACATCTTTTTTATCTGTGAATTCAAAGCTGTTCCGCGAGTCTCAACTAAAAATTTGGGCATCTTACTGTAAAAAAAAAATACCATTAATGTAAAAAAGACACTTTAAATAAACTATATTCACATCTAGAATTGAACCCAGGTCTTCTGCATAAGAGTCCGTTGTTTTACTAGGCGAACCAAAGCACCAGTGACATCCTTTGTATCTGTAACATTTATATCCTTGATGACAGCTGAAACAACGTTCAAAGAACGGTTTGGAGAAGAAGAAGAAGAAGAAAATATCATTTCCATAGCGCCTCTCAAGATAAAAATCACGAGGCGCTTCACAAAAACAAAAAAAAATGTAAAAATATAAAAAAGCATTTAGAAAATGTTTGAAAATATATTTAAAATGAGCAAAAATAGGCAATTGGGATTTAAAAGAAAAAATGTTAAGAAAGAGAGAGTGAATAGGAAAGAGGGAAATCAGTGGATGAGAGTGGTGAAGAAGGTCATACAAAAGCTAGCTTGAACAAGTGAGTCTTCAGCTGCTTTTTGAAGGAGACACTGAGTCCACTGATCTCAGGCTCAGGGGGAGAGAGTTCCAGAGTCTGGGGGCCACAGCAGCAAATGATCTGTCACCTTTGACCTTTAGCCTGGTGCTGCACAACCAGTCACTGGACCTCAGGGACCTGCTGGGGGTGTAGGGACTAAGAAGATCACCAATGTAAGATGGTGCTTGTCCATGTAAGGCCCTATAGACCAGAACCAGGATCTTGAAATGAACCCTGAAGTTTACTGGCAGCCAGTGAAGCTGGAGGAGAAGCGGGGTGATGTGGGTGTGTTTGGAGGACTTGGTCAGAAGCCGAGCACAGGCATTCTGAACCACCTGTAGACGGTTCAGGGAGGTTCTGCTCAGACACGTGAAAAGAGAGTTACAGTAGTCTAAGCGTGAGGAGATGAAGGTGTGGAGAACTGTCTCAAGTTCAGAGCGGGACAGAATGGGACTCAGCTTAGCAACGTTCCTGAGATGGAAGAAGGAAGAGCGAACAAGAGAACTGACATGAGAATCCAGGGTGAGAGCTGGGTCAAAGGTCACGCCAAGATTCCTGACAGAAGGTTTGGTGTGAGAAGCAAGCTGACCAAGAGAGTCTCTGACTTTGGGAACCAGCTTGTCTGGGGCACAGATGAGGATCTCAGTCTTACGCCGGGGACACACTGGCCGCGGAAGCGCCACGAAGCGCCGTGAAAATGGGGCCGCCTTCATTCGGCGCCCTTGTTAAGCTATTCTATAGACCACATGGGCCGCCGAAGCGCCGCGAATCGCCTTGCGCCGGCGCGAGCTGGAGCGCCGGCAGCGATCATTTTGGCGTCGGCTCTATTTTTTTCGCGAGCCGCGGGTGAATCGCGTCAATTCTGGCAGGAAGTCAAACCTAGACATAAGAGGCAGGCCGGTAAAGTTAACAAAATAAAGCATTTCAAAATAAAATTACGCAATCAAATGTGTTCGTAATCAGACACTGCAGAAAAACCACACAAACACACACACATACACACATCGAACTTATGTGCGTGTGTGACCGCGTGAAGGGGGGTGTGGTTTTGGGTGTCTTTTCACCAGAGCAAACAGGACAGAGGCAGAAAGTCTGAGGCAAGCAGTTAAGATGGATGACTTTAAATTAATTATGGAAGTTGAGAAACACAAGGAGCTGTACGACCCCCGAAAAACATGATTATTTACGTACCCATTTCAGAAGAAACTGCTAGGATACAGCTGCAGAATTGGAGCGGGTTCCAAGAGATTCAGCTGGCAGAAACATAGGTTCACACACACACACACACACACACACACACACACACACACACACACACACACACACACACACACACGCACGCACGCACACACACACACACACAAGGTGTGTCCACGTTCAAGGAAAATATTTATTTATAATATTATTTCACACACACGTACGCGCGCGCGCACAACACACACACACACACACACACACACACACACACACACACACACACACACACACACACACACACACAAGGTGTGTCCACGTTCAAGGAAAATATTTATTTATAATATTATTTCACACACACGTACGTGCGCGCGCACACAAACACTCAAACGTAGAGGAAAAGAGCTGAGAAAAGGCAGAGAGGAAATGGAGGACACCAAATGTTTAAAAGAAAAACTACAGCTGAGCCGAGGCGTGCCTCGACTGGGGCGCGTCTGATCTGAACTGAGGAGCGGCGAGCAGCGGCCGAATTTCATGAGCGATTCGCTTCTCGGCGCTTCGCGGCGCTTCCGCGGCCGGTGTGTCCCCGGCGTTATCTTCATTCAGCTGAAGAATGCTCCCACCATCCAGGTTTTGATAGTCTAAGCAGGTGTGTAACAGCTGCAGCTTAGACATCTCATGGGGCTTAAAGGAGATGTACAGTTGGATGTCATCTGCATAAAGATGGTAGGAGATTCCTTTGAAGGAGCTCAGGATGTGCTGAAGAGGAAGCAGATAGAGGAGGAAGAGCAGAGGCCCCAGCACAGAACCTTGTGGGACACCATGGGTAAGGGAGGTGGTGGAGGATCTAAACTTGGAGACGGCCACAGAAAAGGAGCGCTCAGAGAGATAAGAGGAGAACCACTCCAGAGCAGATCCTGATAGGCCTACCCAGTCTCTCAGCCTCTCCAGTAGTAGGTGATGGTCAACAGTGTCAAAGGCTGCAGTCAGATCCAGCAGGACCAGAACAGAACAGTCCCCTGCATCACTGTGAGTCAGAAGGTCATTAGAGACCCTAAGGAGAGCTGTTTCAGTAGAATGAGCTCTACGAAAACCTGACTGGAAGCTATCATAGATGTTATGTTCATCAAGAGCAGCTGTGAGTTGTTTAGCCACAACCTTTTCCAAGATCTTGGAGATGAACGAAAGTTTAGAGATGGGTCTGAAGCTGCTATGGAGAGAGGGGTCGAGACTCTGTTTTTTTGAGAAGCGGGTGGATTACAGCATTCTTAAAGTAAGCAGGGACCTGACCAGAAACCAGAGAAGCATTAATTATAGAGAGCACGCTGGGACCGATGGACTGAAAAGCACTTTTAAACAAAGATGAGGGTAAGATGTGGAGGGGGCATGCAGAGATCTTCATAGAGTTAACTAGTTTGGTTAACTCAGGCAAAGAAACAGGAGCAAAGCTATCTAGGATGATGGGCCTGGTTGGAGTCGGGAGAGGCAGCGATAAGGCTGAAGGAGAGATGCTAGATCTAACCTTATTGACTTTGTCCACAAAGAAAGACAGAAAGTTCTCACAGTCTGCAACAGAGTGGATGGAGGCTGTAGGAGAGGCAGAGAGATGTTGCTGCTGATGGTGTTAAACAGCACCTTGGGGTTCCCTTTGCTCTGGGACACCAGGTTGCAGAAATAGGAAACCCTAGCGTCTCTGACTGCAGAGTTAAAGGATGTCAGAAGATCTTTTAGGTGCAGCAGATGGACGTGGAGATGGGTTATCTTCCAAAAACGCTCAATTTTTCTGCATTGGCGCTTCAGGCTGCGAAGGCTG